CTCTAACAGTGTGAATCCACCATCAGTTACACAGGAGAAAGATATGTACTCTCCTCTTATATAGCCTCCAAAAACCCACCAGCTACAAATAATTTCTGAACTGAGAACAATTACTTTGTATGTGTGTGTGTGTGTATATACACACACACACACCATTGTTTATTCAGTCATTTCCTATGCATTTGAAATTGAATAATGAATGAATAAGGAAAACCTAAAAGGAATCTCTATCTATGAGTTATGGTACTGGAAAAGAATATTAAGTATCTCATGGACTTCCCAAAGAAAGAAAATGATCTTGGAAGCAGTTCAACCAGAGTGCACCATGGAAAAAAAAGATGGTGAAATTTCTCATATATGTCATGCACGTAGATAGAAGGGGCTAGTTTTTTAAAAAGGACACTATGCTGAGTAGAAGGTCAAAGAAAAAAAAAACGTCCTCAATGGAATGGATTGGCACAGTGACTATCACAATGCACTTGAGCATATCAGAGACGGTAAGGGTGGTAAAGAACAGATCAGGGTTCTGATTTGTTGTTCACAGGGTTTCTATGAGTTGTAGTCAATTTGACAGCACCTAACAGCAACAAATAAGAAATTGATTATTTTAACCACACTTTGCAGTTTAAATTAACCAAACATGTCACCAAAATACATTAATGATCATTGGTGACTGGAATGGCAAAGTTGGAAACAGTGAAGATGGAATGGTAGTCAGAAAGTACAGACTTGTGAGAGCAATGAGGCTGGGAATTGAATGATTGAATTTTGTGCATTCAATGGTTTATTCATTTTAAATACCTTTTTAAAAAAAACACAGATGGCAACTACTTTACACATGGAATTCACCTGATGGACTCCATAGGAATCACATTGACCATATGTGTGGAGAAAATCACTGAAGATGTGCAATATCAGCAGTCAAAACCAGGCCAGGTGTGAACTGTGGAAGAGACCATCAATTACTCATGTATAAGTCCAAACTGAGGGTAAAAAAAAAAATTAAAACGTGTCCACAAGAACAAGTACATGTCCTTCAGTCTATTCTACCTATATCTAAAAATCATCTTAAAAATACAATTGACACATTGAACACCAATGAAAATCAAAGACCAAATGAACTGTGGGATGACATCAAGAATATCATCCAAGAAGAGACCAAAGGCCATCACAAGGAGAGAAGGGAAAGAAAAAGATAAAATGGGTATCAAGAAAGATTTTAAAAATTGCACCATAACATCAAGAAGCCAAAACGAAGGGAAGAGATGTTTAAATAAAAGAACTGAACAGAAGATTTCAATAGGTAGTTAAGAAGACAGAGTATAATAATACAATATGCGAAGAACTGGAATTGGAGAATAAAAACAGAGGAACTTGCTCAGCATTTCTTGAACAGAAAGAACTGAAAAAATAAATTCAAGCCTCAACTTGCAATACCAAAGAACGATGTGGGCAAAATCTTGAATGCTACAAGTATTAGCAAAAGAAGATGGAGGAGATACACATAATCACTGTACTAACAAGAATTGGCTAATCATGTGATCAAGAACCATTGACAATGAAGGAACAAACTAAAGCTGCACTGAAGGCATTGGCAGAAATAAGATTCCAGAAATTGATTCAGATACCAATTGACACCAGTCTATGCCAGGAAATTTGGAGGACAGTTGCCTGGTTAACTGAGCAGAAGAGATCTGTTTGTTCCCATTCCCAAGAAAGGTCATCCAACAGGAAGTGGAAAGTATTGAACAATATCGTTATTATCACATGCAAGGAAAATATTGCTGAAGATCATCCAAAAATGGCTAAGAGTAGTACATTGGCAGAGAACTGCCAGAAATTCAAGCTGAATTTAAGAGATTGTGACACCATAGGTATCTTTCTGATGTCAAATGGATCTGGCTAAAAGCAGAGGATGCCAGAAGATTGTCTATTGGGGTTTTATTAACTATGCAGTGGCATTTGACGTGTGAATCATAGCAATTTATGGCAGACATCAAGAAGAATGGGAATCCCAGAACACTTAATTGTATCTGTATCTGTACGTAAACCAAGAGATTATCATGCAAACAGAGTAAAGGAACACTGTTGTGAACCATCACTTTGAAACTGACCCATAGCTGACTCTCCATTAGGCTGTCAAAGGTAGTTAATTACATGGGAGAAGATTGTCCATCCTTCTCCTGCAGAGCAGCTGGTGGCCTCAAACTGTGTGCCTTCGGGAATGCAGCACAGCTTCTTGCCATTAGGCCATGAGAGCTGTGTCACTGTTGCATCCTCCCTCTATATCTGTTCAATCTCTATGCTGAGCAAATTGCTCAAGAAGTTGGATTCTGTAAGGAAGAATGTGGCAGGATCAGAGGTAGACTCATTCATTAGCTATGTTACGCAGATGACACACGCTTCCTTGCTGAAAGTGAAGAAGACTTGAAGCACTTGCTTCAGATGATCAGAGATTACAGCCTTCTATATGGATTGCACCTCAGCATCAAGCAAATGCAAAGTCTCATCACTAGATCAATAGGCAGCAGCATGATATATGGAAAAAGATAAAAACAGTGAACAATTTCATCTTAATTTAATCTACAATTAACACCCTTGGCACTAGCAAGATCAGGAGACATACTGTATTGAGAGTGTGCAGTTAGGGACCTCTTCAAATTATTGAGGAGCAATGATCTCAGTTTGAAGACTAAAGTGTACTTGGTTCAGGATACAGGCTTTCTGATCACTTGCTATGTATCTGAGAGTTGAACAATTACTAAAGATAACAGAAGAATTAATGCTGTTGAGTTGTGGTGTTAGCAGAGTACTGAATACCCCATGAACTGCCAAAAGAATGAACAGGAGAACATACAGCCAGAGTGCTTCTTGGAGGCAAATATAACAAAGATTCATCTCACATACTTCGGGCATGTTGCTAGGTGAAGCTATTCCGTGAAGAGAGACACAATTCTTAGAAAGGTAGAATGTTGATGAAAGAGAAGAAGACTATCAGTCAGATAGACTGACACAGTTACTGCAGCAATGGATTCAATCAAGTATGTCAGATATGATGAAGATGTCACAGGATAGGATAGAATTCAGATTATTGTTCATAGCGTCACTATGGATCTTACCTGACTCAATGGCACCTAACAATTATAACAACAAACTTCAACAATTAGCCTCAACTTTGATCTCCAGCTAAGATATTGAGAATTTCTGAAATTTTCTTTATAATTATAATCCCAAACATTTGATACACTTTCAATTGTGCATTGCTCAGATATAAAAGCATACATGATTAAATCAGAAAAGTTTTGATTCTGTAATAACTCTTTATGTGTTTGCTGGCCATTTCCATTTCTTTGCAAGTCCAACATAACAGGATTCAGGTCTGTTGTTCATAGGGTTGCTATGAGTCATAGTCAACTCAATGGTACCTAACAATAACTATTTTTCTACCAAGACTTTGAACTTACTGGTCAGGCCTATTTGCTTTTATCCATTTCTTCCTAATATTATATGTGTTCTTTCATCAGCACAGTCTGAAATCTTAACTCACACCATAAAAATGCTAAAATGCAGAATATTTTTTGGTACGGGCATATAACTTCATTTCTACCTCTTTATATTACCTTCTCTACGTTTATAGAGTGCTTGGCATTTAGTATTAAATGTCTAATAAGGCAAGTTTTATTTCTTCATAGATGGATAGATTAAGAGGTTAAATGCCTTATAAAAATTAATTTGGGTAGCTAAGGGAATGACCCTCTCATAGTGTTAAAGCACATAATTGCTAACTAAAAGGTCAGGAGGGGTTCAAAACCACCAGAACCTCAAGAAGAGAAAGATGTGGTGGACTGATTTCATGAAAATTTAATGCATCAGAAATCCTGTACAGAAATTCTACTTTGTTCCATGAGGTCATTATGGTTAGAAGCAACTCCAGGTTATAGGTTATATGAAGAAGGCTACAACTGGGGTATTCTGAACTCAAAGCTACCATTTCTTTCTCAACATGCTGGGGAAGATGTAGGGTCAGAGTAAGAGATGAAGACCCTCAACAAGTGTGAATGATACAGTGACTGAGCATATCAGGACTCATGAGAAGGATTCAGGATAGGGCAAAGTGTCGATCTGTTGTTCATAGGGTTGCTATGAGTCATGGGCAGCCCTAAGGCAGTTAACAACAACCACCTTAAGTATTAATCTTTTCAATATTTTAGAGTAAGCAGACATTTAAAAAAATGAAGTAAATAAGGTCATGAAACAATAAAGAAATAAAATCATGAAAATAATTAAACAGATAAGTCATGTTTATTCACATCATTTGTGCTTTGATATATGGACTCAATCATGTCACATTAGCAGAGGCTTCAAAAATATCACCCAGTAAGATAAGTGAATTCTTGATTAGACTGTTGTCTCAGGTAAATGTCAAAAAAAGATAAAAAACAGTGATAGGAAAACTTACTATCAATAAATGAGTCAAGCACCAGTTTCTAAACAGCATCCATAAGATGTTAGAATACAAATGCTTAAATAGTAGTGTTTAATATCAATTTAAAAGTCCACTAACAAGATAGAACTTTTCAATATATGGAATTATTTATCAACATTCCAAAGGTGAATATTTTATCTGTTTTTCCTTTAAGAAAGCATAGTGGGTATATTGTCAGCAATTGTTTTATACACATGTAGCTAAGATGCTGTTAGTAGTCAAATCTACACAGTAAATAATTGGCTATATAAATAAATTATAGATGTCAGCTTACATAGCATTGTTGAGAGAGAGTAGCATGCAGTAACTATGTCTCTCTTACCTTCTAGGGATGGCTCTCCACTGTGGTTCCATAAATATTTCATGAACCAACTTAAAGTAATATGCTAATGATAGACTATTTACCCAGTGAGCAGGTGCACTCTGTGATGCTTTTTCATCTCTCATATACCTTTGATGTGAGATCAATTAAGCCATTTTGAATTGTTCTGTCTTTGCTTCTCTACCCTTACAGCCTCACCTGGACCTAAGATGGTGAGCGAGAGTCATCATGAGGCCCTGGCAGCTCCGCCAGTCACCACCGTTGCCACTGTTCCCGCACATAATGCCACAGAGCCAGCCAGTCCCGGAGAAGGGAAGGAAGATGCATTCTCTAAGCTGAAGGAGAAGTTCATGAATGAGTTGCATAAAATTCCATGTAAGTATTACATATTATTATTATTAAGGTCAAAACAAATCATTGAGCTATAAACTAATGCATTCTTCTTAAAATAGTTAATACTTATTTTCTTACACTTAAAATAATGTTCTAATAATAAAACTAAACAATCTTGGAAAAGGAAAATTCTTTTTAGTATTAAGTTCTTAAGCATACTTAATGAAATGTAAGTACATTTGGTGTTAAATGTAGGTCCTATTTTTTATTCTTCAGTGTTCATTTTTTCTCTCAAGAACCTTAATGCTCATAAATAATGTTCATAAAGGACAGTAACTGAGATAAAAATAAGATCGAGGACAAAAGACCTGTTGATGAGGTTTTATTTTGTTCTGTGTGAGTGGCACTTATTTCTTTGATAAAATTATGATAAGAAAGTAGAGTAAATTTGCACAAATCTTGCTGAAGGCCCCCTAGGCCAATCTGCATGGAGCAGTGAGTGGCATGTACTCTAACTGGTGCAAACCAGGGAGTGGGTGGCAGAAGATTGTTGTGGGTGTAGCAGACGAGAATGGCACTTGATCCTGGGATACGAATAGTTCTCAGACACCGGTCTTTACTTTGAGTGAAATAAAAATCTAGTGAAGTGTTCTAAGCAGAAGACTTACATAATGGTTTGACTTAGGGAGGTTTTATTTGTTTGTTTTAAAAAATCATTCCTGCTACTGTGATGAACACGCATTTTAGATGGGCAAAGGCAGAAAATAAAGGGCCAGTTGGCAATTTGTTGCAATAATTCAGGTAAGAAATGTATAAGATTTGTAAGAGACTTATTCTGTAAGAACACTGGGAAACGAAATTAAAAATACAAGAAATCAAATTCCCTCCTAGTTGTATAAACAGTGCAGCTGGCATGGGGGTAGAAGAGTCTAATCCCCATTAACTCAATAAAAGGGAAGAATGCCCATCAAGAATATGAATAGGAGAAAGCTGATTGAGTGTACAGTACAAATAGTACAATAATGAGTACATGGTGAGGTCAGATATGTCCTCATGCTCCTGCATCTTCTCCTACCAACTCTAGCTCCGCCCAGCCCTCCCACAGCTCTCACTACACTACTACTGAATCTACTACTGTTGTTAAGGCCATCTCTATGCATGCGATCCTCCATGGAGTTTCCCAGGCTGTAAATCTTTATAGTATATATTTATATTTTATATATTTTATATTGCTCATCTTTCTCCCCAGGAGCCCTCAGTGGATTCAAACTACTTATCTATAGCTTAAGGCATTAAGTCAGTAGGGCTCCTTTTATTTTTTTATACTCTCTCTCTCATTGCCATCCCATCAGAACCTACTCATGGCTGACCCTCCAGTGGGTTTTCAGAGGCTTTAGTCATATAAGAGGAGATTTTCAATCTTTTGCCCATGGAGTAGCTGGTGGATTTGAACTGCCTGCCTTTGAGTTGGCAGTGTAATTCCTTGCTCATTAGAAGACCACCACAGTCCTATTCTACTTCTAGGTGCAATAATTCATTTAATGGCCACACACAGTCCACAGATCATACTATTATGGTTTTCAGTAGGGGCATAATAGTTTACTGTTCAGATTGGAAATACTAAGGACAGTTTCTCAAATGTGGTTGCAAGCACGCCTCTCTCTGATCCTTAGTTCTCTCCTGGCTTTTGACCTTGCCTTGCGCTCAGGCAAGCATGACTAAGCTTTTCATCGTCTGCCAATTATATGGCCCAGCCTAGCCTCCCCCTACTCCACCAGCCATCTGGGCTGCCATCACTGCTGTTTGGACTTCTGCTGTTGGGCCATGGCCACTGCTTGGGCTGCTGTGTCTCAGGCTCAGTCTTGATCTATCTCGAGAGTAATCTCTAGTCCAAAGCATATGATGCCTCCTCTACTACTTCTTTCTTAAGGTATTCAGAGTGTCTTTTTCTGCCACTAGTATAGTCCACAGGGAATTGCACTGCTAACCCAATGCTGATGTCTCGATGGCATTTGAACTCTATCAGTGGTTTTATAGGAGAAAGATGGGCGGTCTTCTCCCTTGTGATTTGCAGCCTCAGAAAGCCAATGGAGGGTCAGCTGTAAGTCAGTTCTGACTCGACATCAATGAGTTTGCATTGAGAACATGCTCAACTTAAACTTGTAAGGATGGTGACAATAGACAATCCTCACATTAGTGGACTACACACCTTATTAGCATATTCTTACCCAGAAGCTGCTGTTTACCTTATTCACATTATTAGCAAGCTAACCAGTTGCCTTGGTAGACCACAAACCACTCATATTTGTATATCCTACTCTGTTGTGTTATGAAAGTCAAAGCCAATCGCTACAAAAGCGGTATTGAATAATCCACTGTGCTATCCCTGAGTAATTGACAACTTGTGGATTTTTCTGTTTATTTATGAACAACTTCAGTCTGAGAGATTGCTAGCACAATTGGCGGTAATTAGCATTCTCAGCAGGAAGATCCATAACCAAATGGAGATGAAGATGGCCCAGTAGGTCAACGCCTAGGATAGAAATCACAAAATCTCACTTCTCTTCCTTGCTGTGTCTCTTAGTTCATAGAATGATTTTCAAAATCATGTATTTTGGGTGTAACTTTTTTGCACTCTAATGCAAAAGCCAAATTTATTTAATTTTTAAGAGCAACTTCTTATTTAATAGTTCAATAGAGAAAGTGTTTGGTTTTTTTTTCTCAGAGATATATACGATAGGAAGGCAGAAAATGCAGTAAACAATAACAACCAAACCTGTCTTCTGTCTTGTATTCAATTCTATCTTCTTTTCTGAAAGCATAAGCAGCATGACTGACATGGAAATATTGATAACTATTGAATTGAAATGTTCCATCTTATTTGAAGATTCATCCTCCAGTATCTGCACATTCACTCCTTCAGGTCTTTGTTCACCTTCTTAGAACTACCCCAGACACGTTATTTAATATTGTGATCCACTCTTCCTACTCTCTCTACCTGTGTTAGAATTTCTGCTCCTCAGCCTTACTGAACACATCTACATTGATTTACTTTTTCTGTGATACCATGTGTTCTATGATTTGATTTTTTAGTTCTTCTTCTTCCTTACAAAGTGTCATGAAAGCAAGAGGACATTTTATGCACAGCTATAACCCCACTACTAAAGGTAGTGCCTAGCATATGTGAGGCATTCAGTAATCTATTTTCTGAATTGAAAAAAATGCATGAATGCATAAGTGTATGCTGACAAAACTTATATCATAGACCACTATCTACACATTGAAGTTTTAAATTGTTGTCAAATTAAAACTCATGAAAAGCTACAATTTCTAACACTAAGGAAAACAGCATTTCACTGCCCATGTCTTTCATATTTAAAAAGCAAATTATTCCCATCTTTATGATTCCAACGCTATCTTCTAACCTTTTTCAAACATAGAGCCAGCTCTTACCTGATTTACTCTTTCCTGTTCATCAACAGGAAAAAAATTAACTTGGAAAATATCAGTGAAAATCTCTTTTCTTTTCCTTGCTGGTGTCATTTCATGCCAGCTCATTCCTTCCTCTCATGCTCTGACCCTCTGCCTTTCCAAGCATCATGTCCCTCTCCAAAGAATAACTCCTCCTAGCAACATATCCAAAGTATGTGAGGTCAAGCTTTATCATCTTTGTCTCCAAAAAGCACTTGGCTACACTTTCTCCATTATATTAAACACCA